CGACTCTTGTGCAAAGATCTTTCTTTTGCATTGTGGCTGCAAAAGCTGCACAATCTGTTAAGATTTTAAAATGGTTGCCCAATAAATAAACGCGAAATTTTTTCAACGCCTCTACTATGGCAGGTAAATCGAGCTCATAACTATGATATTTTTTCTGCGCGTCAGTAGTTTTTCTACTCCTGTAATAGATTGGATATAATTTTCCGTCATTTGGATTCGTTTGCAATAATACGGCTCCAAAGCCATCTTTACTCGCATCTACGTGGAGTTCCGTTTCGTTGTCATAATTGAAAATTTTCAGTACTGGTTCGCTAGTTAATTTTTCTTTTAGCTGTTCAAATGCTTGCTCTTCATCTTTTTCAACTACAAACCTTTTGCCTTGTTTTAATAAATTCGTTAAAGGTTTCGCTATTAGTGAGTAATCAGCGATATATTTTCTATAGTATCCAGTAAGTCCCAGAAAACTTTGAACTTTCTTTACCGTCGTTGGTTTCGAAAAATTTATAATGGCCTTGATTTTGTGTTTCGCTGACTTGACAGAATCTTTAAGGAACTGACATTTCGACGATTTAAATTCTAATCCATTTTCCATTGCCGTGATTAAAACTCTTTCCAACCTCTCAAATTCTTCGTTGACGTCTTTGACAGGAAGAGGACTAAATGAAGGACAAATGTGAGTACTGCCATCCTTCTTCTTCACGAGTACAATACGGCTTGCAAAGTCGGATGTACTTTCTCTAATTATTCCATTGTTCAACCATTCTTCGATTTGTTTATTTACCTCATGTTTTTCTGGCATTGACAATCTTCTCGGCGTCTGGTAAACTGGTATCTCGTCTTGTAGAATAATTTTAGTTTGCACGTTTGCCGATGGTGAACACTTTTCCGGTTTGTAATTTTCGATTAATTGTTCAACTTCGTCATAACTTCAACATTCATTTTATACGGATGCAAAATCTTTTTGAAAATCGACTTGATCAGAGCGTATCATCAGATATCGGTAGATGAAGAGAACATACTAAAAACAGCTATAACAACCTCTTTCGGTCTTTTCGAATTCGTTCGCATGCCTTATGGCCTTCGAAATGCAGCGCAAACATTTCAAAGGTTCATCAATGAAGTACTTTCAGGACTAACTTTCATTTTTGTTTAGACATATACTTCATTTAAAACAATTGCTTCACAGATTAAGTTCCTACAATATCAATATCCAACCCAAAAAATGCATTTTCGGTGTTAAATCATTCGACTTTGTTAGTCATCATATTTCACCCGATGGCATTCGACCATCCCAATAAAGAATCACAGCGATAACACATTTTCTAAAACCAACGACTCCAAAAGAGTTACAAAGAGTTTTGGGAATGTTAAACATCCACCACAGATTCTTACCTAACATTTCAAATATTCTTGATCCCTTATACACACTTTCAAAATCACTTCACTATCAAAAACAAAAAAACCATCTCGTCAACTTCTTGGACACTGCATCACGACAACGCTTTTTCTTCAGCCATAGATCTTCTGTCAAAATTTATCTGTCTAGGCCATCCTTCTTCACATGGTATCCTATCATTGTCAACAAATGCATCTAACACAGGAATGGGAGCTGTTTTAACACAAACTATCAATGAAAAATCTCAATCAATATCATTCTTTTCCAAAAAATTTACTTCATGCCAAACCAAATATTCAACTTTTGATAGAGAACTATTAGCAATCTACTCTGCCATCAAATTTTTCAAACATTCTTTACATGGAAATCAATTTACGGTATACATGGTGTCTCTTTCAAGGTAAAGCTACCACAAGTGGTATAAAGCCAGCAGATTTTGAAGCTACAAATGAGCAGTTCTTAAATATTCTGACGGAAATAAATAACTATTTTATAAATATTTGTCAAAATATTGATAACAATGTTGGTCACCACCTAAATATTCACTATCAATCGTCAGTGGGCCACACTTTTTCATTATATTTAACGGACAAAATTGAACTCCTACTAATAATAAATAATTTAAATAACACAACGGCAACGGGTGAAGATGAAATACCTACGAGCGTGCTAAAGCATTCTGCAAGGTACTTAATGAAACCGCTAATGCATTTAATTTATTTATTTATTAATATAGCTAACAGGCAACAAAGACCCAAATACAAGCTACAAACAGTAGACTTAAATATAAACAAAACAATCTGTGCTGTGTTTAAGAAGAAAAAAAATAACATAAAACTAACATACAGTCGAAGAACTCACGCTCATGTGTATAAAGCCGAACAACAAAAATAAAAGAATATAAACATAATAAAAATAAAATTCACCGTGGCCCCGGGTGACCTCGCATCTCAAATGTACCGTTTAGAAGATTTCTCCGTAATTCACGAATAGTTATTCCAAATATGTCCATACCGACAACACTGTCAGCAAGTCTCATGACTCCACGCATCGGCGAATAAAAGTGATAATTCGACGCAGACATCCCCAAAGCAAATGTTAACACACTTCTGTGGCTATAACTCGGAACGTTTATATTTATAATTGATAATAAATATAGTGCATCTATTCTGGAGTGAATTATGTTATGCAAAAAAATAATTGAGTGTACTAACTGTGTAGAAAACTTTAAAATCGTCCGCAAATACCAAACATTTGTTATGACGAATACATTCCGGTAAATCATTGATAAAAATTAGGAACAGCAATGGTCCCAAATTAGAGCCCTGAGGTACCCCTGAAGTGGCAGTATATATGCGTGACTTACAATTATTAAACACCACATGCTGTTCTCGCATACACAAATATGAGGACATAACCCTAAGCAAGTGATTCGACAATCCCAACCTTCCCAACTTCCTGATCAATGTATCATGATGAACCGTGTCAAACGCCTTCGCAAAATTCGTATAAACGACATCCAATTGCTGTCCTGAGTTCATTGCCTCAGCCGCATCATGCGTCAAAGAAACCAAATTGGTTACCGTAAAGCGGTGCGGGACGAATCCATGCTGTGATATGCTTAAAAACGGTTTAAAATGATGCCAGAGATGTTTATATATAATAGTTTCAAAAATTTTACTTGGTATATTAATGAGAGCTATTGGTCGGTAATTTTCAACTTTCTCCTTATTACCATTTTTAAAAATTGGGCAAATTTTTGTAGAAATTAATGATAACTATCGTCCAATAGCACTCATATTGAATCTTGCAAAAAATTATGAGAAGCCTGTACACAACAATTATAATTACAAATTATAATAATAATTATAAATTATTTAAAGAAATATATCAAAATGATTTTCGGAAGGGAAGATCCACCGAACTTGCGCTGTTTCAACTGTTGGAAAATATCATCTTGGGATTAAATGGAAAACAGGGCACAACAGCATTGTTCATGGATCTTACAAAAGCCTTTCATAGAGTACATCATTCAATCCTTTTGACCAAGTTGGAGAGACTTGGCTTTAGAGGTGTTAGCTTGTCATGGATGAAATTCTATCTATCACGGAGGTTACAATGTTTAGTTGCCCACAATGAACAGAGAACAGAAATAAGATCAGCTTGGAGGGAAGTCAAGCTGGAGGTACCTCAGGGTTTCATATTGCGTCCGCTATTGTTCCTCCTGTATGTGAATGACTTACCACGTGTAATGAACAACATTTCGATAATGTTTGCGGATGACACAACGACCGTGGCGAGGTATAGCACTGATTATGAAATCCTGAAATCTCATACTGTGGATCTGAATACACTTGCGGATTGGTTTGAAGTGCACAACATAAAGTTAAGTACAAAAAAGAATAATTATCACTTATGCTCTGACCAAATCAAGGCGATTTCGTTTCTGGGTTGGAAAATGAATCCTGGACTGTCTTGGACCGATCATATTGATTTCGTTGCTGGCAAGATCAGTAATTTCTGCCATTCGGATTATTTCCAGATCAGCTGGCATTGAGGCAGCATTAAATGTCTATTATGCATATGTTCATTCCTTGCTAAGATATAGAGTTGTCTTTTGGGGCCGTCGTGTCGGTATAGATACTATCAGATTCATACTACAGAAGAGGTGTGTAAGAGCAATCTTTGGTCTAAAAAATACTTATAGCTGTAGAAGTTACTTTAAAATACCTACCTTGTATGGAATTTATATTCTTGAATGTGCCATATTGGTTAGGAAGAATTACTATGAACTTTTCAAAAAATATGAATTATTACATCTTCGAGACACACGCGGGAAGGTGAATCTGGTGCCACCAAAAATGCACCTTAATAAGATTCAGAAGACGGCTCTGTACCAGAGTATCAAGATCTACAATCACATTTCGGAGGGTACAAAAATCCTGCTAGTTCCAGCATTCTGGCGAAGACTGAGAGCTATTGTCACGGAAAATCCGATGTATACATTAACATGTTTTTCCAATTTAATGTTTGAATTCAATTTGTATTATATTACAATGTAATTATTGTTAAATTGATGCACTCTACGCTTTTTTGGTAAAATGGGGGGAAATAAAGTATTACTATTATTAATGTTATACCTTGCTATACCTACTAGTGACACTAGTAGGTAGCAAGGTCTATAGAATATAAGGTTACCCAATTCCGATTTTCCTCCTCTGAGAAGCAAGGTGAGTCACTGACATAGTTTAAATATTTTATATAGACTGTACCACAGTATAGGCTATCTTTTACTCTAACTGTATCGAACCAGTGACGTCAATCTGCGGGGTAATAACCGATACTACAGAGGCATAGGGAATCAATCCTTATATTCTATAGATCTTGGTAGGTAGCGCTAGTTAGCATAAGATAAACTTGCCGCTAAATCTGAATGTCACAAAACGTGACGTCACATCAAAACGTTAATGTGATTTTTCAGTACGTTCTACACTTTCTTTTTATTTGTAACATGTTTTTTGGGTCATTTCACATTGATTATCGTCGATTTTTAAGCTACATAATGATTCTTGAAGTTTTCTAACTAAAATATCAATTTTTACAGGAAAAGATGATATGCAAATGTGCGAGTTATCCTTAGATGAAACTGGGTTAACTCGCAAACGAGGAGCTGAAATTCTTGAGAACGAATTTAATAGGGAATGGGAGAAAAACGGTGGAGCACCCTATTCCCGACCTGCGGATAGAAAAACAAATTAAAAGAATTATTTAAAATAAATATTAGCCTAGGAGATAAATTTATTTTTTTGGGGGGAATTTATTAAGTGTTATCTTTTAAGCAAATCTTATTGCTTTTGCAGTATTAAAATAGGTAGTTACTATGTTTATTTTTTTTTGAAAAATAAAATATTAAAATTAAATTGTTTTATTACTATTATTATTACATCACAAACTCTATGTTTTAATATTGCCCAAAAACATATTATTTAATACTCCTAATTTTCTTCTTTTCTCTGTATAAACTCGTTCGTTGAACTACAAATAAAGTTTCAATAAACATAATTATTATACAAATATAAACTTACTGAAAGGATCGAATTTTATAACCTCTAATTTATCTGCCAAACGATCCCGAATTTTATTAAAAGTGTGCCCACTCACCATACTTTCCATTTGCACCATAATACTCCTAAACAATTAAAAATTAATTAATGTAAGTATAATTAAGTTTATTTCATTTACTTACTTGCTTTTAACTCGTTTTAATAAAACGTTTGTTAAGAACATTTTTTTAGGTTAATTTTTTATCTGTCACTAAACACTACTACCAACCTATTTCTTTTCTTACCATCAAATTAATTTATTTTATTATTAATTTATTAATAATATTAAAAATGATTTGTAAACCTCTCAGATATTATTAAAATTAAAATCGAAATTAATATTAATTAATTAATTTAATAACGAAAATTTAAATAAAAGTATTACCAATCGTTTTTACACGTCATGTGGATTTGACGCTTGCCGCATGATTCTGGTCCCTACAAAGTGATGAAATGGGCTGTAATAAGAATATAAGTGATTTCGGTGCGTTAAGAACTAAATATCCTTAGCGATGGAGAAAAAGGAGCTCTTCTACCGCCTGGTTTTACTCCTTTTACACGCGGTGGTCGATTTATTCGACTTTATTCGTTATGCCTGGGTGTACCTGCGGTTGAAGATCTCCGATTTTCGCTTGAAATACGCTGAAATACGAAGTTTTGAAGCTCAAACTAGGAAGCTAAATAAACTACCAAAGCATTTAACCGTGCTTCTTGGTGTTGAAGAACCAAGCATCAAAGATTTAGCTAATTTTATTTTTTGGTCTGTCAGTGTTGGAATTCCTTATATTAGTTTTTATGATCATAAAGGTAATAACTATTTAGGAAAGATGTGTTGATAAAATCAAATTGTTTCTAGGTTTATTAAAGAAGAGGATTGACTGTTTTAAAAGTGAAGTGAATAAATGGGAAGGAATACATTTTTTATTTCACCATGAGGATAGTATAGGTTATAAAAATGGTTTTAGTGGGAAAAAAACTCATATTAAGCTTTTATCGTCTACAGATGGTCGAAATAAGGTGGCGGAAAAATGTAGGGAATTCGTTTCGATAAAAAATTTCGATGTGCAATACATCGATGCGGTTTTACGGGAATCTTTTGAATTCCCAGATCCTGATTTGGGGGTTTATTTTGGGAAAAGTTTTCGTTTATACGATTATCCCCCATGGCAAATTGCGGTCACTGAATTTGTAAATATTCCTACTCATTATAATTGTCATCGTAAACAATTCCTTGAATTATTATTAAGGTACGATAAATGTGAACAGAGGCTTGGAAAATAATTATAAATATTTAGGATTTAAGTATAAATAAAGTAAGTGTACAAATTTCTTATGTATATTATGTAATAAATCAAGTGATTAAAAGAGACTTTTTTTTAATACATAAAATTTATTTGTTTATGTAAATTTATTTATTTTTATCGTGTATGTTTAATACGGCTTTATTGTAATCAATTTTTGAATACAGTTAATTTAAATCTAAATGGGGCGAAATCTATTTCATAATAAAAACAATGTTGAAATTATATTTTCGCTCACCGCATGTGTTTGAAATTGCAAAAAACAAGATAAGTTCATCATTACTAATAGTGCAAAAAGTCAAGGCCTCTCACTTTTGAGATCGATATCTTCGCAACCGCTCGATAAACGCAATTATATGACAGATTTTGGTTACAACCGTCTTGAAATCCAAGTTATGCCGAAAGCAGCTGGGGCTTTCGGCATAACGACGTCCAACTAAATTGCGATTTTCCGCGATACTATAATATAGTTCATACTTGGGTATAGTATACAGGTGTCCCGTTAAGAGTACGGAGCGGCTGTATCTCGACAACGGTAAAGCCTAGAGGTTTGGGAAAAAATCCTTATGAGCAAACGCGTGCACCGCCCGACGTGTTTGGGACGGTCGCGCTGTTTTAGCTGCTAAAAAGGGGAGATGAGCTCTACGAGCACCACCCAGGAACCGGCAGCCGCCCCGGAGGGCCCGTTGGACGATGGGCAGGGCTTCATTGAAGTCCACCGTCGTAAACGGAAATATTCCGGCCCCCGCAGGGAATCAGGCGCCGCTTATAGAAGGAGGCGTAAGGAGAGGGAACTCTCTGAGAGGGAAAAAGGTCCCTCCACCTCCGTCCAGAAA